AACCCCAAAGGGTTCTTATCTTGCATCCAAACAGTGTTTTGGATAAAACAAAACAAAACAAAAACAAAAACAAAATCCCCCACCAACAGACAAGCATCGGCAGAATCAGATTTCCTTTAAATTACACTATTGCAAGAGAATGTAATTGAGTTACCGCTATTACGTTGCTTCCTTTAAGATTTTTATATTATATATACTTAATTGAGATACAGAGCTCTTTTCAGCTATAAAGACGACAGCTACTTTATTAAGGTTTAAATCTGATTTCTTAATGATAGGCTGCTTCCTTTAAAGACTTCTAAACCTTCAACCTTCTTAGGATGAAACCAGACCTGGCATGGCTGAGTCTGGTACATAAATAGAGCCTGAGAGTCTCTGACAGGAACCGGTTTCACAGAAAGGACCTTTCCTTTTGTTTCAGTGTTGGAATTCGAGGGTAGCTATTCTTCTAAAGAGAAAGCCCATGGCAAAGCCAGGTGTCTACACCTGAAAAGGATGAAAATTATTTCTCTACAATTTAACCACTGTAGCTTCTGATATGGGAACATTCTCTTCTACTGTGTGCTGTATACCTCGTTGATCAATTAAAACAAATCAAAATGAATTCATTTTGGGAGGTTTGTGACATTCTTCAAAACAGTAAAAGGTATTCTAAGTGGTGGCAAAATCAGACTGAAAAATTGCTGCTTTGAATACCAGCACTTTTTTCCTCTTGAGAAAAGTAAAATTTATTCTGAATTTCTCAGAGCTTGTGACACATAGATTTCTCAACTCTTTCGAGAGTCCATATTTAAATGTACAGTTTTTTGTTAGGCATGCATCTATTTAGTCATTAGACTCCTGGTCCTTATACAATCACAGGGACAGAGCAATAAGCCTCCTCTGAGAGCCTAGCTTACGAGGGAGAAGCTGAGGAAAGAGGACCCAGAGCTGTCCCTTCTGAGGGACAGCTCTGGAGCCAGGGACCCCCGACGCTGCGATCCACGTAATTATGTGTTTCAGTGCAAGCGCTCTGACGCTTGGTCCCTTTGCCAAGTCAGCAGAGTCCATATTTAAATGTACAGTTTTTTGTTAGGCATGCATCTATTTAGTCATTAGACTCCTGGTCCTTATACAATCACAGGGACAGAGCAATAAGCCTCCTCTGAGAGCCTAGCTTACGAGGGAGAAGCTGAGGAAAGAGGACCCAGAGCTGTCCCTCAGAAGGGGGACAAGTCAGCTATTCATTTTTGGTTATGGCATCAATTAAATTTGAGTTGTGTTCCTTATGACGACCAAATTAATGGTTTGACAGTGGCTTTCTCCATAAACACTGCAAACTGGACATATTCGAAGGTTTTAAACACCGTTCCTTTTCTGTTCAAAATTCTGACAAACATGTCTCAAGTAAGACTGGGGACAACTTTATTATCCTCCCAACACTTAATGCCTTTTTGTAAAGAAGCCTGTTTAATAACACGTCTGCTCTGTTTTCACAACTAAATTATTCCAGTTGGTCACACGTTCCAGTCTTCAGCAAGACACTTGTGTTACAAGAGATAAAAACATGAAAAAGGAAATATATTGCAGAAATCAAAAACCTTATCTACTTCTAGACTCTCTCTCTTTGCCATAATTCATTCAAGAAGGCCCCAAGAATAATTTTTGATGTAAACTCAGCTACAAACATACATCACTATGCTGATAAAAATCACAGGCTAAACTTATGAAATATAGTGACTTTCATTTCTTTAGTGCTGTTAAAATAACTTTTTTCTAAGGTTCAACAGACACAAAAGATAAAAAGGGTTACCATTAATCCTTAAAAAAAAGAAAGAAAGAAAAAGAAGCCCAATAGATTAATTTTGTGGTCTGACGATAGTCTGAGGATGAACTTTTTAGATTAAGTCACTGAATTAATTTGATGAAGATACTGGAAGCCATAAAAACACACAGCATCAAGCTGATTCATTTAGTAACTCTTTGTTTGGGTGCTTTACACATAAATTATGCCGAATGACTTCCGGTTTTTAAATTCTAGCTCCATTAGGTTCAGTTTCCATTCCCTGAGGACAGCTCTGCGGTGACGAGCGAGGGACCAAGGACGTGGGTGCCAGCCCGTGGGCCAGCGATCAGTGTAAGAGGGGAGTGGGAGAAAGGCGTGGCCCTCACATAGCAGCGTGTGTGGCGCTTTCCCAGAGCTACGTCTTCTCTCCTGGGGACAAAGCTAAGGAGGGAGTCTGACACTGGTGCTGCATCTTGAAAATTGAGTGGGCTGAGTGTGGGAATGTCGGTGAGTCAGAGGGAAGGTCGGGGTTGGGGTCTTCCAGGCAGTGGAACGGCAGAAGCACAGAATGCACGTGTGTGAACGGTTGGCCGTGACCGCGGTCCAGCTCCGAGATGGGAAACTACGCTACGAGGCTCAAGTGGTAGCGGGACATCAGTGCCTGCAAGCGCTGTGCTGAGGAGTCTGAATTTGTTCTGCAAGCCCGGGACTTTCAAACTTTCTCCTTTTAGCAGCAAAATCCTTTTATCGGCTGCCTTCAAATGCAGAATCTCAAAATAGAAAAAAGCAGAGTTCCTTTGGTGGAGGTGGAGGGGAGGCCATCTGCCCAGTCCTGCCCTGTACATGCACACGCGTGTGTGCCTCAAGGTCTCTTAGAGAACCCTAGCACTCTGAGGAACATGTTTTGAAAGCACAGCAGAGGGGAGAGGGACTTCAGAGGGGTTTCACTGAGTTAGTGAACCTTTTTGTTTAGAAAGTGGCACGATTTCTAGATTTCTGGAGTCAGTGAGAAAGGAGGAAACCTCTGTAAGACCCTCATGTACAGTCTTTATAAAGAATCATCCAGTATGTCTAAATTTGAAGACAAAAAACATGAGATTGCTAACGCTGGCCCGTGTCGGCTCTGTCCCTCCTGTGGTGGGGAAGCGGTCTCACCACACAGTCATGTAGTAATTACCTCTTAACCGACTCAGCCCACGAGGCACCTGCGTGGTGGGTGGCTGTGACTATTTCCTTGTTCCCAACTTGGCAGGGTGGGTGACAGCCGTCCTTGGCACAGGGAGTGCCCTGGGGTGAGTGTAAGGAACCCTGAATCCCACCTTCCAGGGCTGTCCTGGACCCTACTGCTCTAGCTTATCCTTCTATGCAATGCGGAAGTGACTGACTGCCTTTCTTTCTTTTTTTTTTTTTTGAGAGATTGTTGTTACAGGATGCGTGTGCTCACTACAGAGACAGAAAGTTAGAAATCACCCTCCAGGGTGGATGGCCATGCTGCATCCCTTCTCCTCCATTCTCCTCTCAGGATTTTGGACACACACACAAGCACCCGGTGTGCGTTTTTAGCTGCCAGGTCTGGGACTTGAATTGTGGTTCACTACATGGGAGTCCAGCGCTGTAACCATTACGCCATCTGCTGGCCTCAGAAGCCACTGTCTTTCATTCCTCAGAGACATGGAGAGTTCATAAAATGTTACTTTTCAAAGCATCCTCAGTTGTTGGGAAGAAAGATGCCCGAAGAACGACATGATTGGCTGACAGACTGGAGTGGGCAATTTTCTCACCAGTCTCAACTGCAGAGATCTTGCAGAGTCTGAGGCCTCCCTGGGATGACAGGAATGGCGGGAAGTGGGAGGGGACAGCCTTACACCTTCCATGTGTCTGTAAATTATCCGTCCTTGTCAAGCTCTAGGCTAATGAGTTGAAAAGAGGAGAATGCGTAGCCTAGTAGAGCAGGGTGTGGCCCACCCCCGGTGAGGGAATGAGACCTGTGCCCAGTCTGTAAGCCCCCGCAGGAGTTCAGTGCTCTTCAGGGCCATGTGGTTGGTACTACCTCAACCTGAGCCCTGTGATAAAAGCTTGCTGGTCTTCACATTTCTCACTGCTCCTTCTGAATTTTTAATTCCTTATAAAATTGGTTCTTAAATTTAGTGGACATAGGAACATCAAGATAAACAAAAATGAAATGCTTAGTCTATCTTCCAAGTTACCAAATCGGCATCTACTGGGGTGAGTCCTGTAGATTTTTAATAGATTTTAATAAATTAAATAAATTGCTCTAGGACACATGCACTCATTACAGAGACAGAGAGAGAGGGAAAGTGAGAAAGCACCCCTCACAGGGGACGATTACACCGTAATCCCTTCCCCTCCATTTCTCCTTCTGGGATTTTGGGCACGCACACACACACATGTATCTGGCATGTCTTTCAAACTGCTGAGTCCAGGACACAAACTGTCCAGTTGGCCACGTAGGATCCAGTTGCCTTAACCACCATGCAAATGGCTGGCCCTTAATACATTTTAAATAGGCTCCTCAGACAATGCTGAGAACTCTCACAGCCTTCTCCCAGCAGCTAAAGTACCCTCATACAGCTTAAGCTTTTTTCCCCATGATTTGTGTGTCCTTTCTGCCCCTCAAAAGGACTGGGATACAAAAAAGGATTAAGTGATTAATCCAGATGTGATACTCAATTACTTAACTACGAAAATATAATATGCTGAAATACACAACTGCGGTATCTACTCTGGTCATTTGGACAGCGGAATGGCAGCCCAGCAGCGATCTCTTCTGTAGGACCAGGCATGAGTTTCATTATGAGCTGGTAGGTCACACAGCTGCCGATAATCTGGGGGGTGTTGACACTTCTGGCATGATGGATATCTGAATCTAGTCTTCAGCTGCCGCAGGAAATCCCTCAGCTCCCCTCGATCTGGCACAGAAGGAAGGAGACTGACTGGTCAAGTCCCCCAAGTGGGAAGGGGAAGGGAGCACACAGCGAGATGAGGGCTCTGCTGAGTGCAAATCCGCCATCCAGGTCCAGGCCGAATGATGGGGACTCGTGTCAGGCTCTGGGCACCATAATACAATCCCGTTTGATTAAAAGAAATTTCTGGTAATGAATTAAACAGACCCAAGGAAAAAAGGACACGGTGGCAATATATTCTCCTGGCACCCAGCACACAGAGGGGAAGAGAGGGAGAGAGAGAGGAGACATAAATAAACGGGACTACTCACTGGGGCTTTTTTCTTCAGCAAGGTCACAGGCACAGAGCAGGTCAGAATCGATTGAGATGGGTTTCTGCTTAATCCAAAACTTAGTGCTGGCTTTCTGATTCGTAACAGGGTCTATCTCTACTTTGTCTCCAGAGATACCTGTAAGGCCAAGGGGAGGACAAAAAATAAAATAAAAAATAAAGAAGCCACAAGAAGACGAAAGTGTAAGTGATTTCAGTGTGATCATTTGACCTGCTTTATAAATCCTGAATTGGATGAGCGGGAGTCTTTCTCAGGGTTTTGGGGAATGCCAGGGGCTTAAAAGACAGGCATAAGAAGACTCCAAGTGGCACATGGAAATTGTAGTCTGGTTTTCCGGGTGGGTGAGTCAGATGGATAACAACCCAACACTACAAAACATATTAAAACCAACACGCCTTCTTAGAGATAGCATATATACAATATAGTGGGTCATCAGAAAAGTCATGACATATTTTTCATAGTAAAACTTTTCTGACTACCCAACAGTTTACCTGCATTTTAACCACACATTACCTTCACATTATAATGAAATAAACTATAAGGATCATTTAAAAACCAGTTGTGATCGGTGTCATTATTGTTTCTTCTTGAGAGAAGACCTGGGGTAAACAGGCAATCTGTAATACCACTTGTGCCTACTAGCAAAGCTACCAATGAAGAGGTTCTGATCTGGAAAAATCTTACACGTTAAAAACAGGAAAACAAAAATCTCTCTCTTTCCTTCCAGGACACTAAATAATTATCCAAGCTCTATTCAAGGAGAGTCACAGGAGGATCAAAGGGTCCTCAACTTCCAAAGTCAAGACTTGGAACCTGGCCTCAGGCTGTGGAGGTCACTGCTGTGCTGAGGAGGTGTGAGCTTCATGCCACAAAGACTCTAAAAGGAATCTGGAATGCCAAATATGGCACTTCAGGTTTCATTTTCAGAGCTGTGAAAGATATCAGAGGGACTGAGAACAAAGGTAATGCCAGGTACAGGAGGGGTCCTGGGCCACGCGTGTGAATCACAGCACTGGCTCTCAGTGCGACAGGGCGCAGGCTCAGCCCCACACAGCAGCCAGGCTAGAAGCGCTCTTTTCCCTCTTCCGCTGACAACTGAGCAATGTGCTCGCGAAGTGACACAAAACCTTTAATGTGCCTTCTAGAGTAGGTCTCATATGGAACCTCTAAAGTAATTAATTTTCAGGCCATAGTTTAAAGGTCAGGGTCAGAGTTTAAAAACAAAATAAAAATATAAGAAATGATTAAAATAATGAAATGTGCATGGTGCAAAAGAAGAGTTAACGTATTTCATCCTATGGATCACACACAGGCAGTTTTGAACGAAATGTGAGAACTCGGCAAGACAAAAAAAGCCGATATAACAAACAATAAGCCAAGAGAAGCCCAAATCCCCAAACCAAAACACACATACCAAAGCACACAGCCACTTCTATGGTGTGACAGCGAATTTAAAATGAAAACCGACAACATTGCAAACAGAACCCTATAGGTCGGCTACACATTCTACTCATTGCTATCTTGTTTTATGAACAGATCCCAAATGTCAGCAGAACAAAGGCAGGAGTCTGCGGAGACAGGCCAGCAGAGGACCCTCCGCCATTCTTGGAGGACAGCGCGTCAGCGGCTGCTCCCCCGGTCAGGCCTCCGCACAAATGAACAACTGGTATTTTGTTATTAATCGAATGGCGAAATTTGTCATTAGACATATTTCAAGAGCATATTTCAATTAGGCATAATGTCATCAGTCCAATTGACTCTGGACACTCAGGTCTAGATGATTTCAGGAGGTGAGAATGTAGCGGGAGGCCGGTTTCATTACATTTCACTTAAATAGATTACCACTGCCCAGCTACACGCTTGCCTCCAATTTGGTCATTAATTGCTAAAGATCTGGACATTTCTATACTTGCCCGAAAGAAGAAAAGTACTTAAGCTATGGTGTTGGGAGCAAGTAATGCATGTGTGAGTGTGTGAGTGTGTGCGTGTGTGCGTGTGTGCACGCGTGGGCTTTCCCGCTTCTGCTTATTTTGACATTTATAAAAGTCAAAACGAGCAGAGTAAAAAAAATGTGCATATCTCTTATGTGGAAATAAACCCTGCCCCACAGTCTCTCTCTCAGAAAGAAAGAGAGAGAGAGGAAGAAAAAAAAAACCCATCACCACAAAGACACGGTTTTAAAATTTTGTTCTATGGCCCTGCAACTCCTGAAGCCGTAGTCAGTCAATATTGTTAATGTACCTTGTTAATTTGATAGGATTTGTCAGGTAACTCCACTGGAAAATTATATAAAACTGTTCCAGATGAAAAGATGATAGTGACATGAATTAAAGTGATAGAACAATAGTGGAATATAAACCAGAAATGACACCCAAAGTGGCTGTTGATTTATTGCCGTACTGAGTTTGGTTCTGGGCTCCCATGTATATTAGTGCTACAAATCTGGGTCCATTTAGCAGAGGGATGCTCATACATACATCACCAGCTCCTGCTCTAAGCCAAGGTCACTCCCCATTGCATCAATCTTTTCAACAGAGCCTACTTCACAAAAGCAGGACTTTTGTAACCATCTCAGATGGAGCAGACTCCCGTCCTCTTCCATCTTTCTTTTATCATGTAAAGTACACTTTAACTTCTATTATTTTTATCTGCAAATTGTTACTGTATACTTCATCCATTATGGGCTATATCTCTACATCAGTTGCCTAAGCTCTGCCTGGCCATAAGAACACTTCCCCAATGACGCCCTTTTCTGGGGTTGGTGTGCAGTCACTGTTCACCGAGGGGAACCCCAAGACTGGGGTTTGAGGATGAAGATGTAGGAGATGAAACAAGAGGTTCAAGATGGGCAGAAAGGTGGAATACCATGGAAACAACTGGTGTGTTCCAAAAAAGTTGTGTGTAAATCAGGTATTTTTTTTGAATCAAATCACATTTTTCCCACTGACTTCTTGTTTCCAGAGATATTTTATCTTCATTTCGGATTGATCTGTAATTGGCAGGGGCTCACAATACTTTAGTTTTAAGTTTCTCTGCCCTGCAGGCTTTCAGTCAAGCAGTTAATGATCTGTAAAACACTTGCCTGCCTCGAGGAGTCACTACTTACAGGAACCTGTAGGGGAATCTTTCCTGATGGGAAAAAATCCTTTTGTACATTAAATAATCTCACCCTGCTTGAGATCTGTGTGAGTCTCAGCTTCTTAAAGCAGAGCAGCAGCCCTACAGGGCCCTGTTTGCTCCTGCAGGCCAATGGCAGCCTCTGCCTCCCTTCGAGGAGGACCTAAGGTGTCCGTGGTGGGAGTCTATCTTCCTGAGCACACTCAGAGCCCTGCAGAAGAGCATCCTAGAGCCCAGCCTGGACACAGACAGAGATCTTTTCATCCCTTGCTTGAGAGTCCTAGGTTTTGCAGATTGGAAGAAGGAGGCTTGGTGGAGCAGGGTCAGACAGGAGGCTGATGTCACAGCTCAGGCCAGGGAAGGAAAGGGGGAGCACATGGAAGACTGAAGTATGAGGACAAGACAAATGACAGATGTGCGGTGTGACGGAGAGGGAGTCGGAGAGGACCTTGGGGCATCACTGCAGTGATGAAGGGAGGTGGGAGGTGTGGAAGCCAGGCTGGTGGGACTCTCCAGTGGGGAAGCTAGGCAGAGAGGCTGTGACCCACTTCTAACTGGCACTCCTCCACTGCTAAGCAGCATGCGTGGTTAGCGGGCCAGAGCAGCACCGCGTCTGTGGCAGGGAGTGCTGGGAGAAGAGGACTGCTGAAAGCACGTCCCCTGTGGCTCATTTTCCCCGACGCCGAGACCACGGCAAAGAGCAAAGGTGAACCCCAGCAGGGCCATTGCTGTTCCTGCCTCAGCAGGCTCAGACACCAGGAATTACCTGGCAAAACCTGACCCCGAGGCCCAAAGGTAGGAGCCAAAGTACACACACTATTCGTGGAGCACCTGTAGTATGAACAGCAACCAGCATTATAGGCACCAGATGTGAACTGACGTGGTTAGAAACTCACTGTGCACACCAGCTCGAACCTCTGAACAAGCTTATGAACTAGTCGGCTAGTAGGTCCATCCCTATTTTACAGAGAAATAGAAACATGGGAGGTTAAAACTTGCCTTAGAGCACCAAGCTCCTATGTGGTGAAGCTGGAGTCCAAACCCAGGAAGTCTGGTTCTAGAAGCTGTCCTCTTGGCCACTGTGCTACCCTACAAGAACCACTGGGTGTTTACACAACACCCCTATGATAGGAGAGGTTGCTTGTTTGAGGCCAGGGGACTTGTAAGTGGAAAACCACTTTTCTTTCTTTTAGCAGTTTATTTATTTTATTTGGGGTAGGGGAGTGGGGAGAAAGGCCATAACGCCACAGCCTCCTTCCCCAAACTGTCGCTGGTCAGCGTCACTGGCACCAGCTCTGGATGTTCCCACCTGCCCTGGGCTCTGAACTTGCTGTCGACCGATGATTTCCAGCACTGCAAATCAGTAGGTTACTGACTACGCTGACATGCTGGGCCTGGAGAGCCTCCTTTCCAACACAGAGCAGTCTGGTTTCCAAGCCCACTGCTCTGCATGGCCTCATCCAGCTGAGCCCAGAGACGAATAAGGAACTCTGCCCAAGGAGCCTTCAGTTTCCTCTCTCCGTTTTCACCAAGGAACAAATAAATGTTCAAACGTGCCAAGAAAAGCACATCTATTTTGTTCATGTGCATTGGCAAACTGAAGTATGCATGTACATGACAAATTGAAGCATGAAATCCTATCAGTATTTTTTTCCTTTTATACGAGAGGGAGATGTAGGTAGAGAAAGACAGAACAAGAGGAGGGAAGAGAGGGGTAGACACAGGTAATTCGGACCAGATCTTGCTGTGCGCTGCTCCTGCCCCAGCCTCCCAGTTGGCTAGGGTTGAGTGTCCGGCGTGTTCAGGTTGGCCTGGGAGCCAACCCTGGGCCTCCCTGGTGGACGACAGTCTCCTGGTGGTGGCGCTGTCTGTGGGCCACCTCGGCTGAGTCGTGTTCCTATTATTATTTTTTAAATTGAAAACATTTTAGAATGATTTAATTCTATTTATTTATTATTATTATTTAATTTGGTATAGGGCATGTGTGCTCACCAGAGAGA